CTTGAGAAAGTATATTATGATCCATATGACCACATGAAATATGTGGTCACTTTCTCATCAATGGGTGGGAAGGTGGAGAGAGGACGGGACCCACCAACACACGAGATGGTTGTTCCTCCCCATTACCGTCCACCTCATTGATAGAAGGTGATGATACTCAGGACTTCACATGTCATGGGGTCATATGGAGCATAGTAAATTATTGGCAAATTGCCATTGAATTTCATCGAAAATGGAATGGTATTTTGTGCTTGCGTCCACTCATATGCTTTTTTCCTTTGTTTAAGAAGGCTCATGGCCCGCTAATAACATTGACTTGAGCCCCTATTTAAATGAAAATAAATCAATTCATTTTTCTGAGAAAAATAAATAATCTACATAGCTTGTAAAGTAAAATTTTCATTTGAAAACATTTAAAAAATATCCAAATTTTTTTGTTGTACCTTATACTCTCTCTCTATGTGTGTGTGTTTTTTTAGTATGTTAACATATATTTTAGATTACCTAGTATAATACACAAAATTTAAAGGGAAAATTATGTAAATATCCATTTTAGTTTCAATTATTACTAAAATATCGAATACTTTATATTATTACTGATATGTTCATTTTTTTGGACTTCATAACAATTTTTTGAAAATTATTAGGTATTTGCGTAATAACATAAAATAAAATGGATATTTACATAATTTTTCAAATTTAAATTTAATGCTTCTTTGTTAATTTTATTTAAATACGCCTAAAATTTGTAAACTTTTTCCCTTTTTAAATTTTGAAAATTAGCTTATGGTTCATCCTCTTTCTTTGCATAGCACCGTTCATGATACTTGAGTTTAATAGAAACAAAATTCAATAAGATAGAAAAGAGTATTAATGCAATTGTGTAATATACACTTTCCTATCTTGTTACATTCTCCTCTAAAAAAAAGAAGAATAATACACTTTCCTATCCTATTGACTTTTGCTTCTATTAGAGTCCAATTTGACTCGCCCATGGGTGAACCGAATAGGGGCAAGTTCAACTCCCCTAAGCATTATTTTGGACCAAAAATGTAAAAAAAGGGAACATAGAAAAAATAGAAAATGACGCCATATCACTTAGAAGTAAATTTTGGATTATTTTGATAGTTTTTAAGGTGATTTGGGAACTTTCCTATTTTCCCTTTTTTAAAAAGTTTTAAATCTAAGTCAAAATTTTCAATAAACATCTTTTATAGAGTTTTTTTTTTTATCTTTTTAGGCTTCTAATAATTTCTATTACCTCTTCTATGTTCTTTCTACAACTTCTTTTATGTTCCTTTTTATTTTATTTTATTTTTTATTTGGATTATATGTTATGATAATTTTTTTTTATACTTTGAGTCTAGTCAATAACACTCTTACGATCATACGATTTACAATATTGTGACCTCTTTATATAAAAGATAAATGTTCTCTTATATACTTTTCCCCCTTTTTTTTTAATTGTACAAGACTCCAAAGTCACTCGACTCAGCCAAGGGAAAAGTCCCTTAGCCGAGCTTCTGAACACTACTGCCTATAAACAAGTCTCTCTCTCTCTCTCTCTCTCAAAACAACCTCAATATCTCCATCTATACTTTTCAAAAAGCACAAAAATGGCTTATCTTGCTTGCATTGGAAGAGAAACTACAACTTGCTTTTACTTTCTTTTAGTGGAGAACATGCAAGCCTCAAACTATTCTCCTTTTCTTTTCTATTTACTGAGAGATCTCCTTCAACCTTTTTACTATTTACTTTCAACGTCCTCTTCTTTGAAGATTATATACGAAAAGGTAAAATGCATAGTTGAGAATTTATTTCTATTTTTCATGCAAATTGATCTTCTTTATTTTGAGTGGCTAGATGAAACCTACATATGTGTAAATATTGTGATTTAATAGACTCTTGTAAAAAAAAAATCAAATTTTATTAAGTAAAAGTATATAAAAAGACTATTTACTTTTGTATAAGGAGGTTAGAAACACTCAAGTCCATTAAATTTCAAATTGGAGAGTATTAAGAGCATCATTTATTAAATTCAAAAGTTAAAAAAAAAAATTTCTCGAACTCTGTGATATACCCCAAGCCCCTTAGTTCGATATCTAATGGCTAGGAGTGCCTGTAAGCTCTTTATAATTAGATAAATGGTCTCATGGTATACAATCCCTTTTGTTAATACACAGATTTGGATCGATGAAATTGAGTGTAAATAGATTTTGAGTTTTCAGCTATATGTTTTGTGCTGTAGTTGTATCTTAATGTCAAGTTCATCATCATCATCATCAAAGCCTTTTTAACAACTAATTGAGATCCGCTACATAATTTTTTGTCAGCCATTCTGCTATATGTCAAGTTATATTATATTATTTGATTAGTACCATGTTATGACCATTATCATCATCTGAGCCTTATCCAAGTTATTTGGAGTCGGCAACACAAATCACATTCTATCATTCTGCTATATCAAGAGCCATGCCTTAACCAGACCACAAAAAAAATAATTTTCCTTGATGTATTACCACACATACTTAAAACCCTTGTCCTAAGATTCTTTTTTGGAAATAAATATTTAATAAGCTAAAATAAGCTGATGAATAATTAGAATCACACTACTCAAACCTGGTGGTTTTAAAGTATAGATTTATAGGCAAGATAAAAATTAAAAATCCTCATCATCATTATCCAAGCCTTATCCCATCTATTTCGGATAAGACAAAAATTAAAAATAAAATAAATAAATAAATCGAAAGAGCCAAGTTTTTTGCTTTGGCATTTCGAAACACTTTCCAGATATCTGTTTTCCAAAAATCCGAACCATGCCTCAACTTGTCAAGGTTTGATTTGAATCGACCCATCCAACTCGAGCGCTTCCTGTGTAAGAGCAGGCACATTTAATGGAAAAATTTAAGAAAAAAAAGCTACAAAATAGGATCTTAGAGCGACTCTAGGGTGGCTAGAACGAGGTTGTTCCTGATCAAATTCAAGCAATTTTGATTCAGATTGGTAATTTTTAAATTATTACCATAAATTACGTGACAAAGACAAATAAAAAAAAAAGTTCATATAATAATCCGGGCATTTAACTAAGGGTGAGGTTTGTATAAAGTGTCAACCTTATACTATTGAAGTAAGGTGCACCTCAAAATTATGTCGAAAATGCGATTCCAGTGCCACAAAGCCTTGAGATGAAATGAAAAATTATTGTTTCCTTCAGTCTTGAAATTTATAATTTCAAAAATGGTGATGATCCAGCAGATCTATGCATACTTGAAAGTCTTAGAAATAGACGGTCTAGATAATGTGTTAGAAGATGAACTATTTTTAAGATTAGAAACAACTTTTTTTGTCATGTCTATGAATCTCAAGGTCGATTGATTTGAGGGTTTTCCAGCGAATGAACAATTTTCTCTAGTGGGTTTGTTAAGTGCACCTTACATGTACACATGGGGTTAGACACCTTATATAAACGTTTTTCTTTCACAAAAGAGTGACGTTTGTATAAGGTGATAACCTTATACTATTGAAGTATGACACTCCAAAATCATGCCGAATGATGTAGTTTCAATACTGGAAAACCTTGTGCTGATATGTAAATTTATTCTCACCCCTAATTATAAGAATTAAAGCTCTAAAACTTATGCAAATCAGAGTAAATTTATAAACAATTTAACTAATTATAAGAATTACAGCTCTAAAAATTATGCAAATCAAAGTAAATTTATAAACAATTTAAATATTTGAAAATGGATGGTTCAGATAATATGTTACATGATTCACTATTTCAATGGGTTGAAATCTTTTTTCTTTTTTCTCCTGTTCATGCATTTGAAGTTCTGATGATCAATTTGAGGGTCTTTCAAAATCGGAACAACCATTTCCAATGGTTTTTGAGGTGCATCTTACTTCAATAATATATAGTCGATACTAATGTCTAAAAAAGCATATTGGTGGTGCAGATCGTCCACCTTCAATTCCGTTTCAGATCGGCCAGATAAAAAATTTGGATTATTCTCGAATCATATGGATCGGTGATCAAAAAAAAATTTAAATATAAAAGAAATAAAATTAAAATTAAAATGGATATTTATATGGTGGGGATTTAGGGGAGGGACATAGAAAACATTAGATAAATTTAAAAAAATAAAAAAAATAAAAAAAATAAAAATAAAAGTAGGGTGTTAGGGGGGAACTGGGCCTGACCCATACCATTACAGAACCAACTCGAGCCCGACCGATTCATCATCCAAATAGAGGACCCGATCGAAAGTTGCCGAGTTTTAAAACATTGGCTGACATCTTCTATAAATTTTTCCTTCCTTGCATAAAGTTCCCAAAATCAATTAAGCTTACCAACTAATTTATAAAAGGAAACAGTCCATATAAAGATGCAAACTTATAATGTAGAACTACGGATGCACCTAAAAAATCCATCGGAAAAAGTAGTTTTAATGTTGAAAAACCTTTCGATTGATCATCTCGACATCGAGATATATGACTATGAAAAATAAAAGATTTTAAATTTAAGAAATAGTACATTTTACAACATATTATCTACACCGTCTATTTTCAAGATTTTCCTATATTTATAGATCTACTAAATTTTAATTATTTTTTAAATTTAAAATTTTATAATTAGATATAAAAATAGATTTTGAGATAATCCTAAAAACATTTTACATCAAAATTATATACAATTTGAAGGTCCACCTTACCTCTACACCTACGGATGCATCCGTATGCGACCTGCACCTTGTACAAAATAATAATGAAAAAAAAGTTTATTTGCCTTATGAAAGGTTCCAGGGGCATTATGGGTAATTCAGGCCCGTTGAAACATCGGTGGTAAAGGGCAAAACAGGAATTTTAGTCAAACAAAATTTTTGGAGGGTAATCTCCGAAAAAGATTGGGGTACTCTAGAAAATACTATAAAATATGAGAACATTTCAGTCATTGTTTCATAATTACCCCTGTGCACCTGTGTCTATAACGGATGAATGTGCCGACGAGAATAAAGTTGCAGAAGAGAGGGAAAACAGAGATTAGAGAGAGAGAGATAATATATATAGAGAGAGAGAAAATAAGAGAGGTGAAAGTTGAGGATCAGAGAGAAGAAGAAAATGGCCGGAATTTCGAAATTTAGAAAGGCAGCGAAGAAATTAGGCCTTCCTTGTACTTCTTTCACTGTTGAAAACACGCCGGAAAAGAGAAAATCGGGGGAAAAGGTGCGATTTTTTTGGTTTATTGTTTCTCTATCTACTTGTTCTTCCATTTCTTGAGAAACCCATTTTTGCTTCTTTTTTTTTTTTGCATGTAAAATTGTGGGGTTTTTGTGGTTTGGACATGCAGATCTTGAGCTTGCATAACGAGGCAACAGATAATGGAGTGATTAAGGTAAATTTAAGAACAAAATTGGTTTCTTTGAATAAATTTTTTGAATGCATGTCGTTTTGATTCTCAGTGCTGGAAAAGGTGAAGCAATCAAAATTAGTTCTCATTTGCATTTTTCTGTTTTTTTTTTTTAATTTATTTATTTTTCTTCACTTCCTTCCTTCTGATAAAATGAGAAAAATGTTAAGATTTTCCCTTCTTTTGATAAAATAGTTATTTTCCTGCAATTTTTATTAGTTTTTAGTATTAATTTGACAAGACATGGGGAGCTACCATTTTCTTTAAAATTTGAAAGTGAATACTTATATTCAGTGAATATAAATACTAAGTTTTCACTTTTCCATGAAAAAATAGCGTTTTTCTGTAATTCTGGGAATTGGGTGCGAGTTTTTCTTACCACTAGAATGAGTACAATGACTATCTGTAATTCTGATAAATTTCCAGAAACGGCTGAACACTAATTTTGTATATGAGAAATTTTTATTCTCTCTCTACATTTTTTATGGGATTTTGCATATGAGAAAATTTACTCTCTCTCTCTACATTTTCAATGGGCAAAGTCCCAACTGACCCTTGTGTATCTAATCTGTACATGAGTTGCATGCCTTTTTGTTTGCTCTCTCTCTCTCTCTAATCTGCAAATGATTCGCATGGCTTTTTGTTCTCTCTCTCCAATTGGTTTGTTTTCTCAATGCATTTTCTCCCGTCTCCTGACTCCCATGGGTTATTCTTTTTTCATCTTTAGCAAACGTATGCTGTATTGATACTGTCCTGCAATTGCCCCCCCTCTCTCTCTCTACTCGAATGGTGTCAATATCTCTTTGATTAATTGCTTTTTGCCCTCTCTCTCTCTCTCTCTCCACCACGCACCCTCCTAAAATGGTGTCAATAGCTCTTTGCTTTATTAGCAGAGCCATCCTGTACCTAGTTCCTCACTGTTGGATTCCAGTGTGTGGTGGTCTGCTATTGACATCAGTGCTTTTTGTCTCTCTCTCTCTCTCTCTCTCTCTCTCTCTCTCCCACACACACCACTGTGGGCCATTTCCCCTCTCTCTACAATGGACCATAGTCTCTCTGTCCAGTTTCTCTCTCTGTACTATGGGCCAGTCTCTCTGTCCAGTTTCTCTCTCTATACTCTGGGCCAATCTCTCTTTCGCTCTCTACAATGTGGCCTCTCTCTACAATGTGGCTATTTCCCATCTCTACAATGGGCCAATCTCTCAGTCCAGTTTCTCTCTCTATACAATGGGGCAAATCCCTCATTCTCTCTGTACAATGGTGCCTCTGTCTGCCTACAATGGGGCCATTTCCTCTCATACACCATGTAACCCATGCTCTCCTGCCCACTGGTTTCTGATTTGGCATTTTCCTCATCAATGCTTTTTCTTGTAAATAGGGGTGCCTTTATTCCTCCCTCACTAGTAATTTTCCAAGTTTTAGAGGCCTATACTTGAACGAAAAAACATTGTATTGCTCCATGCGGACTGGACAGCATTTCTACAGTAGACGGTCCAGAGGTATTAAGCATCCATCTTAAAGATGGGATGCAAATTAAAAACAATGGTAACTAAGGGTCCAAATGTTTTTTTAACATAATTATTATTTTTAATTTTCAAATTTTATTTTATTTTTCATATTCATGATCTCCATATTAAATATTATATATTTTCTAAAAATAAAGATCAAATTAAATTTTTAAAAATATATTTATTTCCAAGCCCGCATTTCTACAATATGCGGGCTGGCCGCATAGATACTGTGTCCAAACTCCAAAGTATCTACGTATGAGGCTCTAAACAATCAAATTAAGGCCGAGTGCAAAACTTTTACTAGAAGAATTTGTTTTGATACCCAAATATCCTCAAATTGATCATCTCGATCTGAAGATACATGGACATGAGCAAAAAAATAGATTTCAAGTTTTAGAAATAGTACCTCTTATAATGCATTTTTGGACCATCAATTTCAAGATTCTTAAGTTTCAATTCAATCTACACTATTTTTAAAGCTTTAAATTTTACCATTAGAGATGAAAATATATTTTAAGACTATCACAAGATATTTCTAATATTGAAACCACATTTTTTAACACCATTTGAAGGTGCGCTTTACTTTGATTGTTAGAACCTCGGTTTTATACAAACCGCACCAATGCTTGAATGAAGACCCTTCCTCTTCAAGGAATCCAAAGTTTTCACAAAAATATTTTTTTTCAAGAGCTACAATTTCGGCATTTATAGCCATCACTCACTGCATATTTCTATTTTTTGTGTAATGGCCGGCTTTTTCGTGAGCACGGGAAGAATTTTGGCCGAAATATTGAGTCTTTTCAAACACCGGAATTTCGGCTATATTTTCTGAAATTTGAAATTTAATGGTATATGGTTTCTATGAATTTTATAAGGAGCAAATAATTATATTCTTTTTAGTGATTTAAATGACGAAAATGCCCTTTTCCAAAAGGATAACTGTCACTCTCTCAACGACCAGTACCTCTTCTGGCAAAGTTCAGAATTGGGAGTACAATTATCAAAGAGAGTATACCAAAATTCGTATATGACCATAACAAATATGTGGTCATAGGGTTCATCACCATCTAATCAATAAGGTGGACGGTAATATATATGGAATTGGACCTAGAGATCAACTTAATATTTGCCCTCACTCTCCCTAAAAGTCCACTACAAATCCTTAGGATCATATAATGGCCCCCTTTTTTTTTTACATATCTTTGGTAAAATAAAAAAGTTCCACAATCACTCCTAGCCACTGAAATCAGGTCAGGTAGTTAGGAGTGTGTCAATGCTATGCACAAAAACTTCAAAAGAATTTTGTTAAATTTGAACTTGGTTGGCGGTATGGCCTCGGCCACCTGCTTTCACATTTGAAAGCTAGAGGTCCTATTGACCTTTAATACCAAAGATAAACAATTGCATTGTATACTTTCTGAATTCCATTTATCAAGAGAGAATTCCCCACCCAATTGGATCCTGAACAACATTTAGAGGCGATGGTACTGTACTAATTATACCTCACACACACATAAACGTATACATGGTTGGATAGGATCCAAAGTAAGTTTTCAGATGGGCAATGGAGATGAGCAGTTGTTACCACCTAAATGTCTATGTCCGTACAAGGGTTCATATCTACCATTCATCTTGAGAACATGAGGTGGATACCTCACCTATATACTGCATAGCATGCACATCACATGTATCCCCTTCCTTTCCTCAGAATAAGGGGAAGTAGGATTTTCAACCAAAGATGGTAGTGATGTCTTGCACCCCAACCACTGAACCAAGAGACCCGCCATAGATAATATGCCAATCAAAATGCTTTGATTAGTTCATGAATAATTGTTCACATAAAATATCTTGATAAACTATAGAATTTTGCAATAATTGTTCCTAATTCTGTCTTAGCAGATTCCCTGTCCCATCTGTCTAGAGCCACTAAATTCCGGCAACGATGACGATCCCAACATAGACACCAACTCGAGCCAAGCTGTCTTCACAGCAGAATGCTCGCATGCCTTCCATTTCCTCTGCATCTCATCTAATGTGCGCCATGGAAACACCACGTGTCCAATCTGTAGGGCCCAATGGGCAGAGCTCCCCCGCCGCCTCACCCGGCCCCAGCAAGGCCCAACCAGACAACCCCCCGATCCTGCCCTCGTCATCCTCGAGGACTCAATTGCCACCTCTAGGACCCACCGTAGGTCGATTCGACACAATGGCGATGACCCTGTGGATCCAACCCCCTCATCAGCAACCCATCCCCGACTCTGTTTTGCTCTGGTTCCAATTGCTCGAGGGCTTTATCCAAGAGGGTGTAGGCCTATGGCCTTACTTTTACAACCGCTAACTACTGTAGCGAGTGGACAGAAGCCATTTTCAGACAGACAGAATACTTCACATAGGGGGCCAAAACAGTATCCAGAAACACAAAGTACTTCCCCAAGAGGGCCAAGGCTCCATCCAAAAACACTGACTACTTCACCAAGAGGCCTTAAGATATGCTTAGAAACAGAAAATACTTCACCAAGTAGGCATGTGATCTATTCAGAGACACAAATTAGTGCCCAAAGTATGCTGAATATGTACCCAGAAAGCGTAAGTTCTTTGAGAAGCAAGCAAGAGCTCTGCCCACCGACCACAGCTTACCTCTACGTGAAACTCGAGGGACCCCCAGCAACAGACTTAGTAATGGTTGTTAACCCAACCGGTCAGAATCTCCGCCTCTTCAAGGAGTTGATGGCAGTTGTGGTTTTCTCTCTGAGGCCTGTTGATCGACTCGCTATAGTAGCCTCCTCGTCAGGCCCAAGCCGCACCTTCCCCTTACGGCGCATGTTCTCACAAGGGAAGAGAGCTGCCCTACAAGCCATCGATCGCCTCATATTCCCATCAGATGGGGACCCAACAGAGTCATTAAGCAGAGGGATTGTGATATTGGAAGAGCGAGCCCACCGAAACCCTAATGCTTGCATCTTGTTCCTCTCAGATGGCCAAATTGGAGGCTACCATCCCCTCCTAGATGAGCAACTCTCAATTCCAATCCATAGGTTTGATTTCGGGCCAAGTTTTAGAGTTCCTGATGAGTTTGTTAGGCATGGATTTGAGGAGTTCTTGGTTGGCTTGCTTGGGGGTGTTATTAGGGAGACAGAGTTGAGACTTAGGGTTGATGGGGCAAGGGGAGAGGTCCTTGTGGAATTAGGAGATATGGGTGTTGGAGAAGAGAGAATGATCTTGGTTGAAATAGGAGAGTCTAAGTTAGTAAGTGTTGGGTATAGTTATGAGGAGGGTGGGGTTGAAGGGGGCTCGAGAACAGGGGAGATGATCTTGGGTTTTAGAGAGACAAGAGGGAGATATAATGGTGGTCATGAGAGAGGGATGACAGATTCAAGGGAGAGATGCCATAATGGTGTAGAGAGAGGAGTAAGCGAGGCAAGTTCGGGTGGGAGAAGGAGCTGTGCAGAGAGATGGGAGTACTATGATCCTTGCATGGCCAGAAGGTGGGCCAAGCATTTGCATGGGCTGATATAGGTCATGCATATCTTATCTGTACTTTGCCCTCCATGGATATTCAGTTTTTGTTGGGATTTTCAGGTCCAGTAGGTCTTTTCCGATACATATTTCTAATAAAAAAGATACATATTTCTAATAAAAAAGAATTGATCAAAAGAAGAACAAAAACTTAAAAAAAGAAAAAAAGAAGAAGAAAAGAACGGGTAACATAGAGCACAAAAACTACAAACGAGGACAGATGCCACATTCTCCGTGGTTCAGAAAGAGCCAAGGTAATCAATTTAAAAATAAATAAGACTGTCGCAGCTTTGAAAATGTTGTATCATCCAAGAAATATTTAAAAGGTCACCTCTCTCTCTCTATCTCTCTCTCTCTCTCCAATTGAAGGTCGCCATTTCTTTGGCTTTTCTTCACTAAAATTCTGTCAACACAATACATACCATGGACATAATTTACCAAACTGGCACGCTTTTGGATCTCTAAATTTCTGCCATATAGAGGGGGAACAGCTCCTTATACCTTTCCTTTGAACTCAAGAATCTGAGAAAGATGATGACAATCAGGAAATAAGCCTCTGTTCCTTTTATTCCAATCATGTCAAGCACTCTCGAAACCAAATATTCTGAAGACACCTGCATTGAAAGAAAATATATTAAGAGTTGTATGAAAAATGAATTGATCAAGGAACTACAAGTCAGAAATCTATTGAAACTAACCTCTAATAAAAGTTACCTCAAAGAAAAAACCACATTCTCTCTCTCACACACACCCCCCGCTCCCCAAATTACAGCAGAAGGGAAAAAAGGCAAATGCCATTGTCTAGATATTTCAGGTTCTTCACTGAAGCCTCACGGTTTGCAGCAACTTGTCTAACACCCCCCCCTCCTATCTCTCTCTCTCTCTCTCTCTCTCCTCATACATGACAAAATTTGAAAGGAAAAAACAATAAGAAAAACAATTACCTTCATCTTGCTGGTATTTGTTCTTGTCATCACCAGCATATGCCAGGAGGTTGTACTTTGGGTTCCATTCTACACTGTTCATGGCGGCTCTGCAAGGAATTTGATGGACTGTTCTTCCACTGTGAACATCGGACTGTGACACACCAACACCTCAAGCATTAGTTAATGTTATGGAAAATTTTCAAAAAGACAGGTTGGGAAGACTACTTAAGTGCCATTGATTTCCAAAGAGTGCTCATAAGTCAAACTTAGTGACTGGCTCGGTCACTGCCAAAACCGTGGCAACTCGCCAAGTCAAACAGTAACCCAGAAAAACTCAGGTTCTCACAGTTGAGTGAAAAAAAAAGTGCCAGTTGTGTGAATCCAACCCAACTTGCCATTTCAATGGTTTGCAACAAAGTGCCAAGGAAACTCACAATGTCAATGAACAAATCTTCACTGGCTGAGGCAATGTATTGTCCCGTGTGATTGAAACTCACCGTTCTGACTGGCCATCTTGTAATATCACATATGGGTCAGTCATAAAATCACAAGCACAGTATACACTTTGTTTCTTTGATCAAAAGCAATTTAGTGAATAAAAATCAAATGTTGGGCTTAGTCACTATGAACTTACTCAAGTTTCGTAAACGTACGGACACAGAGCATCTCTGAGAGGTCCCAAAGGCTAACCAGTGCATCAGCACTTCCAACAGCAAAGAATCTGGCGAGGATAGAAAAATGGAAAAAGGATTTCAAGTTTACCGTGCACCAAAAAAAAAAGTTAAAAAAATAAAAAATAAGCCCTTCGGAGAATAAAAGGGAAAATTCTCGCCATGATGCAAATACAAAAATGGGTAAAGTATTCAGAAATTCAAACAACTGAGGCTGTGAAAACTAAAGATCCTTGGGATATTTGCATTGGAAAAATCACAAATTGGCAAATCACTTTGGATGTGATGTTCCAACAAACTGAAATAAGGCTTAAGGATGAGAAATTCAGTATCACCTTCCTGTGGGATCAATTGCGATGCAATAGCAACCTGCCGTATGAGCATTAAGTGTGTGAAGTGCTTTAAGAGATGGATATGCCAGTACCTCAAGAGTACCTAAATACCAATGGTTTAATCCATTAATGTCTCCAACTCAAAAACTTCTTATTTAACCACCCACTACCCGAAAATAAAAAGAAATCATTCACACATGATTACAATTATGTCTAACATCTACATGCATGCTAGAAAACACTCTAAAACCCAATTGGAGATCTTCAGAACATAAACCATCTTTTAGTGAACTACATTCTCTGGGGCGAACTTATGTAATATGATCTTTTCACATATCCATGTAAAAGCTGAAATTATGGAAACAACCCTTAATGTTGTCATGTTGCACTTATTGCACAGTTTTAGTTCTTCATGATCCCAGAATGACATTGGATAACAATATACAAAATGTTGTACTACTTCACTGCTAATTATGCCTACTGGGCCACCATTTAAAGTCAAGTTTGAACTAGATACTGAATCCACATCAACTATTCCATTGGCATTCCTTTGTAAGAGTGCAGAAGCTTAACATTAGAAATTCTGTATTAGGGGAATCCAAATTTGAAAATTGGAAAAAAAAAATTGAATTTGATAAAAGTTACCATTTCCAGTTGTAAGAAAGAATATCTCTCCAGTGGTGTTCCAAGCTATCTCATTCACCTGAACATCAGTTTCTATGTCAAAAGGAGCGAAAGCTTTTACAAAGGGGTAAAAAAAAGTGCTCTACTTTTGTCGTCCAGAACATTAAAAAGGAAAGAAAATACCCAATTTCTGCTCTGCAATAAAAATGTAGCTATAGCATGTAACAAGATAATACCATAAGAGGAGAAGATGTCACAGATGCTCGGCAGCTTAAATCAACCAATGCACCACACTTATAAACAACAGAGATGGCACTTATTACAAGTGACCAGCTACACATGCATTTTTTTCTTAGAAAATATCATTAAAATGGTCACACCACCCCAAAAAATCACTGCGGTGGTTACATCAACCAATTTGTCAACAAAGTGGTTGCTTTAAAAAGATCATTTTCGCTCAAATACCAGTCAACTATTTATTCATAAAAACCCAAAATTCCTCTTTATTGGGTTGGAATCGTGATCTAGCAGAGGTAGTTTCAATTTTGGCAATTTGGCATGACACGAATGGGGTCAAATTACTAAATTTCCCCAGAACAAGAGATTTTAGTGAAAATGGGTTGGAATCGTGATCTAGAAGGGGTATTTTCAATTTTGGCAATTTGGCTATGACACGAATGGGGTCAAATTACTAAAATTTCCTCATAACAAGAGATTTTAGTGAAAAATCCACGTGTTCCAATTTTTAACCCAAGGTTAGTTTCATCACTTTGCTCAGGATGCTAATTGATGACATAAATAACACTGCCTGTTCCCGTGTCCAAATCCAAAGCAGATTTGGAACAAAGAACAAGCATGGCGCTTACATTGTTTGGCTCATGCCACTTGAGTAGGGTCAAACGCACCTGCATGTTCTGGATTCCAAACCCAAAATAGGGGCATCTTGGTCATTTTTAATAGAGAGGAACTTGAGTAAAATGACCTTTTTAAAATTATCACTTTGTTGTATATTGGTTCATCTAACCACCTTAGTGATTTTTTTCGAGGTGGATTTGACCATTTTAATGTTGTCTTTGAAAGTCCATTCTAAGGATTTTTTTCTTTGTTTTTTTCCTTTTCCTTTATTACACCAAAATCTGCTATTATGGATGAAAAAGATGGGGGACAAGTGATAATATAGTTTAACTCCCAACTTGTTCAATGTGAAAGAAATTAATCAACCAAGGCAAATATTAGTTTTGCTTTGGCCAATTTGACAAATGCCACTATGGCCACAAACTGAGAGACAGAACCCATCGAATCAATTAAGTGAAGAAACCATCCAAGACAAGGGATGATAAACATCCCGGAGAATGGGAAACCTAATGAAATGACATACATGATGGCCATAAAGATCCAAGTAAACACCCACCTCATAATTAAACTTCCGCTTGAGAATTGGTTTAAACTTGCGAACGTCCAATATTGTCAATTCATCATCCTACAATCAAAACAAGCAACTTACATACAAACTCACTTCACTCATACCTTAATTCAGAAACAGTGCAGACACCTTTCACTATATTCTTCATCAGACAGAGAATCATGAAAAAATATATCATGCAAAATCCAGTTTTTGTAGAATTTAGAAAGCGGACATGTGTGGAGAGACCAAATAATTGGTTGATATGACGACTACAAATTGGCTATCCAAGACAGGCTTAAGTTTATGGGTGTCCTAAAAGTTGCAGGATCTCTCATATATTGAATAGTTGTACCATTTCCTACAACAATAATAGCTAATCATTGTCTATTTTGTATCAATTAAAGTTCAGGAATAAGAAGAGAAGACAGATTATCACAAGGAATGATATCATTAATCTCTCTATATTTTCTAAAATCTATTATTTCTAAAAATACCAGACTAAACATGTTGATATCTTAGTTAATGACATGAGGAAGCTGATAGTCTAGATATTCCAACTAATCCTTTGTTGTTTTTTTTGTTATAATTGTCTTTTTGTTCGAGGTTTGAGGTTCATGGTCCTTGATTTTAATCAAATGTATCAAATTAAAAATCACACTAATATACAAGGTAGAACTGGGAGGACAAATACACCCCAGTTATGAGCATCACATTTGAACCTTTATGTTTGAAAAGATTTCATGGAATCTAGTCAAAGTAGAACCACAAAAAAGTCAACCTTTCAATGAACACAAAATCCAAATAATGAGGTTGGAGAAATCCAGACCATTTCAAGGACCCCAAGGTTTGGAGTTCCTATACCACTTCAATTAGTGCTTCATTTTGCTCCACCATATCACATTATTATATGATGCAAGTGGAGCACAAAACACCTCATTAAAGGAATAAAAGTGTGTACCCTATTTCCCACAGCAATGTGAGTGCCATCAGGTTTATACGTGATATTGATGTTTTCACCACTAAGTTCTACTTGTTGAGAGCATTTTCCACCTGAAACAATCAGGTAATGAAATCATTAATAGCAACAACACATAAGTCAAGAGCTACAAAAGAGAGGGTCAAGTGCAAGTAAATAACATACAAGTGGAGACAATCTAGGAGTGGTATCAATCCAACAGAAATCCTTGGGAACACTTTTTCCTGAGCTGCACAACCCTTATACGTTTGGTACGTATGAAAACATTTCCTGGGAAATTTTGTCATGTGAAAAAAGTCCCTTATGTGATTGGGTGTGGGAGTATTTTCACACTAACTGGATGGTAATTGATGTAAAAAAATGCACCGGGACCAATTGGTTTGAAAAGACTCCCACACCTAATCATATGAGGGAGTTTTTTCACATGAAAATACCTCCCATGCATACCAAACGTGCCCAAGTGTACCATAGAAACAAGAAAAACAAGATGATACTTTTCATATGTTACCAGAGATAATTATTTATTTAGTTCTTACTTCAAAAATATATTTTTGATGGCTAGCTAAAACAAATATGCTCAGAAAAAACAAAGCATCAATGATCAGAAATTTTCTCAGAAGTGCCAAAAACTAAAGTCCTAAATTGATACAAGAAGCCCATTGAAATAAGTGTGCACATGGAACCACCATAACCAAATAATCTACTGGTACAACCACAAAGTATAAACAATGTGCATTCATATTATTATTACAGTATTTATGAACGTTTATCTACATTATTATTTTCCTTATTCCTTGACAGGTAACAAGCATGCATATCACTGAGTATGAAAAAAGTTATATCATGCAACATAAGATGGGCCCCACAAGGTCCAAGCAGAGCAAGTGGAGATCCTCTTCAGAGCACCAAAAAAAGATTGCAGCAAACTGGCAACCTCAACGGAACTATCTCTTCTATCGTATTACAAATTCGCCTAACCAGTTCTGTGAAAATGGTTTCCCTCCTTATGTCCTCGATAGATAAAAGACCTATAAACAAAATCACAGATATCCAACATTTGAAAGAAATGCCACCCATCATCACAGAGAATATCATTAAACCATCCCACTATGCAAGCATTCTCCATGACCATCCCAATATAAAATGAGATAGATAAAGCTTAGGACTATAAGACAGGCCATCATCCCAGTAGAGGATTATTAATCACCTACAATCTCTCAAAACCAAAAATGACCCATCACAATCACAAAGAACATGCTTAAACACAAAACTTGAGTTGCCTAATGCAACCATCAAAATCACGCTGGGCATATATTGATATTGGAAAAATCAATAGTCTTTACATCGTCCTGCACACAGGTTCTAAGTTCTAACCAGCAAACTACATCCTTTCCTTTCAGTCTCCAATCATAGCCAGAAACATAAATTCCAAAATCTACAACTTCTTACTCAATACAAAAGTAAACAGTTTCCAAAACAAAAAAATCCAATCATTGTACTCTACTGATCAAGTACCCCTCCAGCCAGCATTACTCCCCATAAGTAGCCAGCACCCAAGAAATTTTACACCTCAATATCAAATCTGAAAAGTATGAGAAAATCATCCCTCCTTGATTCACACTCCACTCACTCAAAAACTGAAATCCCTGATTCGTTGAATGCTTTCCAAGAGCTTGATCAGAACAGGTAAACATTGAAAACACCGAATGATGAAACTGTTTTCAGATGTATTGTACTCGAAGCAAAGTCTTATGGCTAAGGTGAAGGCACAACCATTTCACCTCTAAGTAATCCATGCAAGAAAGACATTCATGTTGTTCTAACTCCTATACATCAACAAGATTCTGAGCATTGACATAAATTTCCCATATCAACTACAGTACAATGTAAGGAAAGAAAAATATTATATGAACTGTGAGAATTAAAGCAAGAAACTGTAACAAATGGAGACATGAGAAGATTACTCCATATCTAACATATTGAAACTGTAATAAATTGAGACATGAGAAGATTAATTCATAATTTAAAATGTTATGGTTCACTAGATGGGACAACCAAAATAGGAAAATACAAGATATTCACATTAACTTCACTTACTACGAGCATCCCAAAGGCGAACAGTCTTATCTCCTGATGCAGTTGCGACTAAATCAGCATGCTTTGGATCCCAGCATAGCTGATCAACACTATCAGTATGCCCTTTCAGTTCCAGATCCTTGACTTTTCCCTGGGAAGAAATACCAAAACCTAAAATGAATAATTTTCAAAGAATCTCAAAATTAATCAACATAAAAAGAAGCAAAATGGAAATAGATTTGGGTGCCCATATGTATGTTGCAGGAAAATTAGCAGAGATAGATCCAACTACAGTAAAACAGTAATTGGTTGTAGTATGACATGGTAGAACAAGAACATTGCCAAGGGGAAGAACTGCATGTTTTTCATTAAATATATTCGGACGTTACTCAATCTGTGCTCAACAACCTTAGAACCTTATATAAGAACAAGAGATGTATCCAATGGAAACCAAATACTTATGAACCATCAATGCTAGAAACATGATTTTACGCATCAAAGAAGCAATAGGAAAACAATAAATAAGAAAAGTGAGAAACACGAAAATATTCTTTTGTTAATTGCTTTTAGGTTTTATAAGTACATTGAGTCAAATAAACATTCCCACTCTAACTTTCCGTGATCAGCATCATTCCACCCGAGAATATCAAATGCAGTTGGACTTCATAATAAAAAAATTCAACAACTATCTGATCAATAATCAGCAATGCAAATCCAACTACATCAAACACATACCAGTCATTGCTGCTAACTCTGAACTCGAATCTTAAAAGCTGGGGATAAAATTACCAGTTCGTGGGGATCATCATCGTCAAAACCTTTTCCCAACTAATTGGAGTCGGCTACACGAATCCTAGTCCGCCATTCTACTCTATTAAGGGTCATACCCTCAGCGAGGCCATAAATCCCCATATCTTTTCTCATTACTTCCAACCATATCCTTTTGGGCCTACCCCTTGCCCTTTTTGAGCCTTCCACTTGAACTAACTGGCATCTCCTAACAACTGTTGTACTAGATCTGCGCCACAATGGCCAGCCCATCTGAGTCTACTCTCTCTCATCTTATCGCCTATTGATGCCACCTAAATTTTCCCAAATGTACTGATTTCAAATCTATCTCTTCTTGTTTCGCCACTTATCCATCTCACATTCCTCACCTCCGCTACACTTATTCTATTGATATATTGTTTTTTAACCGTCCAACATATCGTCCCATGAGCAAAGCTAGTCTCACAACTTTCCTATAGAACTTGCCCTTCAACTTCATTGGCATGCGGCGATCACATAAAAATCTGGTTGCACATCTCCACTTTGTAATTTTATGTGCGACAACTTCCTCAATCTCTCCATTTTCCTAGATAATCGATCCAAGATATCGAAAGTGCAATCTTTTTGGTATTTCCTGGCCATCTATCTTAACTACTTTCTCATCTCTACTCTTATTATTACTAAATTGCATTCTAGATACTATGTATTAGTCATGCTAATTTTAAAACCTTTAGATTCTAGAGCATCCCTCCAAAGTTCTAACTTTTTATTGACACCATTTCGAGTCTCATTGATTAGTTCGTGGAGATATTAAGCTAAATAATTTTGCCTCTAAAAAACCCAATATTTTAAACAAGCAATAATATATTTCAATGAATTGAAATAATGTTTGTAAAACATGTAATATGATATCCGACAAAGGAATTAAACATGCCTCTACAAGTAGGGGTGGCAATGGACCCAGACTCGGACCCGACCCATACCCGCCAGGTATACCTGACACAGGTCCGGGTATGGGACCAATAAAGGATACCCGAACCCGAGACCATCTGGGTACTGGTCCTGCTCTACCTGTCCCAATGAGTATCCAGACCTGAATTTTTAGTTTACCCAAGGCCAAAGCCCCAACTCTAAAATTGTTTCAATACTTTTGGTCTTCCCTTGGTTCCCCAAATGGCCAAACCCCATAGCCATCTGCCCTATCAGCAATTCTCCCTCTCACAATTTCTTGGAGACATAGCTCTCTTTGGATCTCGAATATCTCTCTCTCACTCTCTCTCTAATTGCCCACCCCTCAAAAATCAGTTCTCTGTTTTCACCATTTGTAGGCTACCAAAAAGGAAGCTCATAGTGAGGGCGACGATGGACCTAAACAGACCAGGGACATGAGGGGATAGACCCAAGACCCGACAAGTACGGGTATGGGTCCAACTTTTGGACCTGACAAGTCGGGTCTGGGTCCAAAACCTGAATCCGAATATATTCGGGTCCGGGTCCGGGTCCAGCAAGACCCAATCCATACCCGACCCCTTGCCACCCCTATCTACAAGTACATTTTTTATTATGTGCTCAATCACACATGATTCTGAAATAATTTCAAGATTGCTTAAATAATGGCAAAAAGTTTAAGCCCTTACATTTAAAAGTCTGAGACATGAATTCACACAAAATATGCATAAATATAGTCTTCCCAATAATCTTGATAAAATCATTTTCTAATGATATTGTGTTAATGGCAATGGTTATTGAATCTCTTATCACTTCAAACTTCTCCAATTGATCTATTCACATGCCAAAGGTTCTTATCCCATTGCTTACCAACTCCCACCCCCCCAACCCAAAAATGTTTGAAAGGTGGTTTGTAATTTTCTATTTGATGGAGGTGAAGATAAATTAAAGAGAGATCTTCCTGTTTTCAAGCACGTCAATGAGCTAAGTCAAGACAATATTTACCCCCTACTGAAATTAATCAGTGTGCATAAGATTCACCGGGCAAATTTGCCATTAGGATTTCTGAAAACAGGAAATCGAATACTTATCTTACTTGTTCAATGCACAGTAACAACAAGTCAGACCACCAGAAATACCTTTCAGTTAGAGAGAAAATAATTCTGAAAGGAGGAGATATTATATAAAAAGGCTGCATCTTGGGCGTAAACCGAGTCCCATTTATAGAGAGAGAAAAATCGTTTTTTCAAGTAATTGGTTCTGACTTTCAATGCCTAGTGACTAGTCATTTTGAAAAGCTAAATTCATCCCTCTTCACAGATTAAAGGGTTGTTGGCCATTCATTTGTTACAACTGTCAATCTAAAATAGTTTCTTAACAGTTACAATAGTTCAAATTGAACCATCACGCAACCAACACTAGTGCCGTCCACCACACGTGTGCCTCTCCGGACATCGCCAAGTGACATGATGCTCAATAAATATCCAACCGTCAATAAAATGAACACCAAAATTTCAATGATCATAAACTCGCAAACCAATACATAAAAAAAATCCCATAAATTTTGGGCGAAACTTACATGGCCGTGAGGCTCGATATGCCAAACACGGGCAGTTTGATCCACTGAACCTGAAGCAAGCTTAGTTCCTGTAAAATTCCAGGCAACTGAATGAACCTGTGAACGAAATGGAGAAAATTAGGGCAAATTACAGCAAAAATGGGGCGAAATCCACGATTCTGAAAAACAAAAGGGAAACAATTCACCTTCTTTTTGTGGCCCTGGTACTCTCTACTATGAAGATTCTTGAAAGAAATAGACTGCGTTTCTTCCATGAAGAAAGCCCTAGAATCTCCCTTCCTGCGAATTTTTTTGGGTTTATTGAGTTGCAGATAGGGAGTGAAGAAATGGCGGGATGCCCTCCGTCGTTAAATGAAAGGTGGTCTTTATACTCCCGCAGGATTAACTGTCCATTTAATTTTCGTATCTTAGATTTTAGAATTTAACCCCTTCAATCATACATTAACTTACCTCAATAAAAACAGGTTTATGAACTCGACTCTCTATGTACTCAAAATTGAATAGAGACCGCCCAATTTTTAATGGCTAAGTTTAAGGGTTGAAAACTTAAAATTTAAATATTTTTATGAAAATAATTATATGGTGATTTTTAAGTGCTTTTTGAAATTTTAGATGACCTTTTGACAGTGGGGAGTACGTATACAATAATGCTCCCATGAGAACATGGTATACACACCCTTTTTAGAATCTGTTAAATACTTGAAGTAACGCGACTTTGAGATCTAGAAATGTGAAAAAGATCAAAGATAAATAAAAATTAAAAAATTCAAGCTCTAAATATAGTGCATTTGGACAAAGTTTACGATAGGGGGAAAATAAATTTTCAGATAGTACTAAGTTTACAATAGGGGGAAAATAAATTTTCAGATAGTAGTATGGTTCTTTTTTTTTTTTTGTTGAGGATTGATATCTTCTATTATGAAGAAATAGACATGTTCAGGTAGCGTCCAAAAGTGGACCCGTTAAAAGCATATAGGAAAATTTCAAATATCCGTATATAGGATTCGATATATCTGATATTCGATATATCTGGGATTCGATATATATCTATATTTGGAGTATTTCGGTAATTTATACCATCTATATGGGATAGATATATATTGTTATGACTCGATATACATTGTTGCCATTCAATATATATTGTTGCGATGGGGTTCATTTAGGGTTAAGAAAAAAAGCATATCTCTTTCTAATCAGATAGAACTATTTCGGTAATTTGTACCATCCAATGGTTTAAAAAACGGATCGGTGACCCGGATCGGGCTTTCAAAAAACCGATCCGGATCGGCGAATCGGCGATCCTGATCAGGAATCGGGTGAATCGGTCAGAATAAAGCTTCAAAAAAATCCGAAAAATTTATTAAAATTCATTATAAATATTATTTTTTAGGAATTCAATAAGAAATGAGGTTACTCCATTAAGAATTTTCATGTTTTTGAATGAATATGCGAATATTGATATGTTCTTTCCCTGCATGAACCGCCATTCAACATTTAATTTACATCACACAAAAGGATAAACATAGAATTATCATGGAATAAGTATATCAACATATATGAACTACAATAAAACATAAAATTAGTAACATACGATCTAAAAATAAAATGATAGACGACGTTATTGTTAAAAAAGAAAAATAATCACCATATGTAAAAAGTTTAAATTAACCTGACAGTTCAAAAAGAAAAATAATCGCCATATGTAGTGATAATATGTTGCGGTAGTTCATGTAGTCATATTCGTTGTTATTTGTTATTGCAAAATACCTTTTTTGACAATAATATTTTCGTATATATCAATT